GTCGACACGACGTTATAAACTCCGGGTGAGATCTAACGCTTCACTAAAAAGATTCTACGATTCTCAAGAAAAGCGGCACCAAGCGGTTCGTTCACTTCGTCTCGACTTCTACAAATTGTTTAATTGCGCGATCATTGCGGAATTTCTGGACGATGAGCTCACATCATTGTTGCCGTCGTCACCGAGGCTGCGGGTTCGCTTCCGTACTTTTGTGTTCCGCGAAGATTTTGCTTCGGCGAATTCTAGTAATATTTATTTGAAAAGCTAGAATACGCAGCTAACGTCACCTTTATAAAAAGGTTCTTCTTTTGTATTTTTTACAAGAGCTTATAAATCTTTATATAATCTTATATTTTGTCATATAGAAATTATATTAGCCTTAAAACTATATTGAGTGATACTGCAATATTGTTATCTATATATGTAAATTTTTATGTATAAATAGGTTACTCTTACTTAACGTTATATTAAATTTTCATACATTTTCATACATTTTCATACACTTTTTAATGATAAAATATTTTTAAGTTAGGCCTTTATAAACACAAATAACTTGAGACATCTCACTTTTACGTTCAGGGCATCTATCATGGAACAAAGTCGGAATAGATTCCAATCGAAAATATTCTGTTTTTTTTCTCAGAAAACAATAGGAATATAAGAAATAATTGAATATAATTCCAATCGGAATCCAATTCGATTTTGTTCCATGATAGATGCCCTGATTAAATTAGTGTATAATGGCTTTAATATGCACCAATTCTGTCAATGAAAAACGCTATGATACGATATATAATACAAAACTGCATGATTAAATTGAAGTCACTTGTATTATGTATTCTGTCATAATACTGACTATTAGGGAATCAAAACTGATGTACAGAGTGTCCCATTTTAATTGTTCTAGACAAATATCTTAAATTATCTTTATCTTAAAAAATATAGAAAAAGATATGACCAAAATACATCCTCCTCAATACGTTCCTCTTTCATGTAAAACATTTTTTCATATATTATGTATTTTTTTAATTTGCTTAGGGCAATTAAAATAAGACACTGTATAACGAACTGAGTTTTTAAAAGCTTATCTCCGTTTATCCTAGTTTTTAGTATGGCATTTAGATTGGACTTTCTTATGATTATTAAAGACATAGCTCGATGACTTTGTTCATTTGTATCGGTATAGCGTTCTAGAGTTAAATAAATCAATATTAAATTGATAATAAATAGAACAAAAAGTAAAATTAAGGTTTATTGACGAAATTTTCTAAAAAAATTATATTAATTTGTAAATTATTAAAAGCAATAGCTATCAAATTTTGTTACAATTCATTACTCAATTATTTACTTATTATTTCAAGATTATAATTACATCCTTTAATTTAATTATTCAATTTTAATTTGCGTTTAATTCAATATGTACGAAGAATGAATATTTGAGTCTTCCTCTGAACGACCGGAAGTGCGTCAGTTCGCGCGTCATAAAGCACGCAATAGTGAGGGAATTGCCGAAATGTTCGCTCGCGCGTGAGGAAGCGCGCGACTTTAATTGCAGGAAAGTGCAATTCTAAAAACACGCGTCATGTTATAATATTTGCGTCCCAATAAACAAAACTCGTAAAACTCCACTAATGTAGACTACATGATTTCGGCTGCATGAAGATTGTTACAAGATTTCCACATAGAAAACTTTCTAGAATTTAATTGAATTAAAATTGGCGGATCCAATTTGATTTTTGTAAAAAATCATAAAAAATCTACAGAATCTATAAGTGACAAAAATTAATGTGACAAAAATTTCAGAAAAATAATAGGTGAATTGGTGTACAGTGAAGTGTAAAGGAAAATCATCGATCGATATCTAATTAAATAAGAGAATTTCTATTTTTTGATCGAAGCAAATCTTAATGCTTATATTTCTATGTGAATTTATATATACATATCTGATTGCCGCATGAAATCTTTCTCGAAATCTTTCTCGAAATCACGAACAAAATCAGAATTGTAATATCATATTAGGTGTTGGAATTAATTCGTAGCGTTTTACAAGAGATGGCACAAGCAGTACACTATTTCGTTGTTACCTATAGTTCTGTATACATTGTAAACATCTATCATAGGACGTCATTTGCCGTACATAACCTTTCTTGAAATCATAAATAACAATACTGTATAATTCATTGAATATGTCAAAATTTGTGCCAGATAAAGTGTTTTTGCGGGGAGTTTTGCTTCATTACTTTAATATGAACAAAAGTGCAGCTGAAGCTCATCGTATTTTAGTGGATGTGTATAGTGAACATGCTCTGGCTGAGCAAACGTGTAGGAAGTGGTTTGCACGTTTTAAAGCTGGTGATTTCGACTTGGATGACAAGGAGCGACCTGGTCAGCCGAAAAAATTTGAAGATAACGATTTGCAGGCACTGCTCAATGAAAACTCATGTCAAACACTTAAAGAATTATCTACGTCATTGGAAGTTGACTTCTCAACAATAGGAAAACGTCTTAAAAGTTTGGGCATGATCCAGAAGGAAGGACATTGGGTCCCATATGAATTGAAACCAAGGGATATTGAGAGACGTTTTCTCACGTGCGAACTGCTGCTTCAACGGCAGAAAAGAAAAGGTTTTTTGCATCGGATTGTTACCGGTGACGAAAAGTGGATCCATTATGACAATCCAAAGCGCAGAAAGTCATGGGTTAAGCCCGGCGAACCATCAACATCAGTGGCAAAGCCCAATATCCATGGCTCAAAGCTCCTGCTCTGTATTTGGTGGGATCAGAAGGGTGTCATATACTACGAACTGCTAAAACCGCATGAAACCGTTACTGGAGATCTCTACCGACGGCAACTGATGCGCTTGAGCCGTGCATTGAAGCAAAAACGGTCGGAATACTTCGAAAGACACGATAAAGTCATCTTGCTGCACGACAATGCTCGCCCACACGTTGTAAAACCGGTAAAAACATACCTGGAAACACTTAAATGGGAAGTGCTACCGCACCCGCCGTATTCTCCTGATATTGCACCTAGCGACTACCACTTGTTTCGATCATTAGCTCATAGCTTGTGCGAGCAGAAGTTCACATCTTACGAAGATTGTACAAAATGGTTCGATTCCTGGATTTCATCTAAAGATGAACAGTTCTTCCGACGCGGTATTCATTCACTGCCCGAAAGATGGTCAAAAGTAGTAGAAAGTGATGGGAAGTACTTTCATTAATGTATTTTTTAATGCTCATGTGAAATAAATAACATTCTTTCATTAAAAAAACGCTACGAATTAATTCCAACACCTAATATATTAAATCGACAAGCAATTTAATAATAATTTTTGATGCTAATAAACATAAAAAAATTACTACATTATTCGATCAATACAATTCCTAAAAATAATGTGAATGATTTACAGATTGCATTCTACCTGTATCTGTTATGCCCAGCGATATCTTTGTCTCTGCATATTGATACCACGAGATAAAAATTAAATATGACATTTTTCAAGGAATGTTATCAGAAAATACCAAAGTAATATTATCACGAGAAACAAAAACAGATCATAAACTTGAAAGCTGGAAAGTGAATTCGAATACGTAAATTTAAAAATAAAAAAATAATTTTTTTATTTAGTTCGCAATTGTTCTAAAAATTCATAAGAAATTCTAGATGATCTCTCTCTCTCTCTCTCTCTCTCTCTCTCTCTCTCTCTCTCTCTCTCCTCGTAAATCCTAAAATCTTAGAAAATTAAAAAAAATCATGTTCATTTACTCATTTCCTATTTCTACCAAAAATGGTATCTAACTGAGAAAAAAAATGTCTGAATGAAAATGAACAAACCAGAAAGTTCTAATTGTATCAATTAGAATTCTGAAACATCTCAAATAGAATTTTAATAGATTTAACCAAAAAATTCAATGTAAATTCTGAAACAGTTAGTTGATACCTTAAAAAAATTTCTTTAAAAAAGAAAAACTATACACCAAGTGCATAAAAAAAAGGTATCGAATATTATTATTCCTTTTAATAAAAAAACGGATACGAAATGACAAAGCAACGATACTGGACGACGACGATCGTCCTGTGATTCGATTTCACCTCGGTCTACCCTACATTTTTGAGAGATACGCTATTCTCTGCTCGCTGATGTAAGTACTGATATCATCATTAATTATTGATTTGAAATGACCGGAGTCGGGGGCGGGGCGGTGCCGAAAATCGATATGTCCTTTGTCATTAAGACAGCGCAAACCTACGACGTCGCGTCGGCAGGAAGTATCCTGTTACATGACGTATTTACGGTCGCTATGCTTGGAGATCGCAACCTTATGTCGGCTGCGATCCTTGTCGCTTCGCAGAGGGAATTCGTTCTCGTGAGATCCTCGGAAAGAACAAGAGGAGCTACCCTCTTGCGCTTCGAGAATGCGTCCGGCTCTGTCTTGCGCCTTCGAGAGTGCATGTTTCACAAATGTTTATAGCACTTATGTCGCGAACGTAGTTTCAGGCGTACAAAAATCTCGAAAGATATTTTCCTTTTTTTTCCGCTCTTTCTCGTAAACCGAGCTATATCCAGACAACGACGTCGACGCGTGTACTATAAATTGTACCGCTCTTGAGGGAAAGTTCGATACTAGCAACCAACGGAGAGAATGGTGAGAGTGAAAATTAAACATTCGCTCGTGCGTCGCTCTCTGTTTATTTTACCGCGAAGCAAAGCTTTCGTCAAGAACAGAAATCTTCAAAGAAGATTCGGTTGTGAGATCTCTGTCAGATATATGAAGTAAAATCCTGCTCCTGATTTTATTTCATTCAACAAACCACGTTTTAACGAACTTTAATCTAGAATTCGGATATTATTTGACGTTAAAGAGCACATGATTGCGATAATCTAGTATATATAATTGTTCTCAAAATTATTAATAATTATTAATAAAATATCAATAAAATATCTTAATAAAATTCAAATCAAAGATGTTAAAATTCGGAAGGGTTTTTAACTTACTCGTACGACAAGGCGAATATTCCTGCGACTCGTTGAAGTTATTAGAGGCGACCCAGCATGTGCCCACTGGTTCTCTCCTATTGCCCACTGTAGACTCCTTATTCCATCTATTATCATCATACTTTGGCTGTGACACCGAGAACCAGATGTACCTGGGTGCACATGCCTGCGAACATAAAACAGAGATTGCGTCGCTATTAACGACTCGAGCTCTCGACTGCCTTTATTATGGAGACGCGATCGTTTGTACTTTCTAACGATCGTTTCGATCGCAATTAAAACACGCGCGCGGTCGATTGCCGGTTCCGCTGGTCGTTAAAAGTGATGTTGCGCACCGGGAAGAAAAGAGAACGCGCGTACGACGAACTTGAAACCGCATGTTGTGGTATGTTTATAGTCGCACCTATATACGTGACGGCATCACCGTCGACGTATATAAATCGCGTATTAAGACTCGATTCTCACCTCCCATTTAACACTGAACTGTGTCGATGGTAATACCGGTATAAATCGCTGAAGATAGATTTCTAGCCATATACAACCGTTTCACAATTACCTCGGCGTGACCACAAGATTTTAGAATCTTCTCTTTGTAAAATCGTAAAAGAGGCTGCGATAAATTGGGTAGGTTTCACGTTAATTAGTTTCGCATACCTTTCCGTTTCTCACAATGAGGGAAATATGACTGTGTTGCTATTATGCCTAACGGCTCATTTAACGATAAATGTACAGCAGGAATACAGACGTGTTTACTAACCGCGGGAGGCACATTGCACAATTCGCACGGATCATTGCCGCATTTAGAGGTGCACGAGCTTTCCGCGAGATACAGATGTATTCACGTACACGGAGCTCGTACACACTTTGATGATTCCTTAGAGATAAAAACTCCTTTCTGCTGCATAATTTTCGCTGCCGCTAAACATTATGCATTACCAAGCATTCGATTATTGCAGGCAAGTATCATTAATATTAAATTCATGCTTTAGGCATTCTCCCATAAATACGCCTCACATGAACAACCTGTAATTTGATTCCATTCCGGTAATGCACGAATGATCTTACAATCTATTACACACGTTCTATTTTCTCTAGAATGGATGTCCTTTCGGTTAAAAAACGCTACGTTAAGACGTTGATTTTTACGAATAATTAATTAAGAGTTCTTGTTGCTTACTGTAAATTCATAATTTTAAATCAAACTTTAAAAATTTTATATGTGTTTAAGTACAATTAAAGATACAATTAAAAACAAACTTGACTCTTGATTACATTACATATGTATGTGTCGAAAAGTTCTTTAAAGTTGCAATATAAAGTAACTTATGGTTTCAGTTAAAAAAAAAACGCTATTTTAATTTAATGCTATGTTGATTTTAGCGGCAAATTAGAGTTCCTATATTATTTGATCGCTATAAATTCAGTCTTTCTAATCAAATCACTTTAAAAAGTTGCCACATAAAATAACTGATGGCTCAAGATAAAAATCATTTTTCTTGATTCAATTTCTGGTGCCTACATCGTTGAAAGTAAACGAGTCATGCGAATGATTGTGAAAAATTACTCGATAAACTTTCAAGCAGGATCTTATCGCTCACGATGTCTCTTTTTGGACAGACCGGTCCGAAGCAGGTCTGGTTGCAGAAACTATTTTGTTAGACGGCCCGATCTGAACGCGAGTTCTGTCACGCACAATGATCGTCGCATTACGTCAATCTGTACTTGGCCAACCAACCAGAAGCAGCTGATGGCCTTAATAACGCGACGTAACGTGCAAGCGTATAACGGCGATATTTATGCCCGATGCCTCAGGTCTACGTCGTAAATCTCTCGAAATACGCACAATCTGTCCCGACAACTTATCGCGAAGAACACTTCCACATCTCAGCGCGGTTAATCTATTGAAATCACGGGACAACTAGCAGTTGCATTCTTCAAGTGCTACCGGGTGTAGCTTCATCAAGAAAATAAAGAACCGCGTTGTACCACTTGCTAATACTTTAAATGTTTCTGAAGGCTACCAATAGACATAGCATACGAAGTTGTGTAACATAGTCCTTTTTATCATTGTAAGACACTCTAGAATGTTAAGAAAACGTCACCATTTTTTCATTTATTTCTACATTGTGTAGTTATAATAAAGATGATAAAATTTCATCTCGTCAAAAGATTGTCTCGAGACGTTGCGTGGCTTTAGAAATAGCACGTTAGTTTCTCGCGTGATTGCATAATTTGTCGCTGGCCAACATTTTAACCACTTTTCAAGGCCGTCTGTGTAAACGAGCTTTAACAAGATGCACGCTGATTCCGCATGCACAAAGATCGCGTGAACGAAGCCGAGCTCTTTAGCAGAGCGAGATTATACTGGCGTAATGTTCACACGCACGCGCGAAGCTATGCAGATCACGCAATCATGCATTATTAATTGCGAGCCAATTAAGGCACGTTACAATGGTACGTCATTATACGCATCCCTCTTAAAAAAGGATTGCCGTGACCCAACCTTAATCGAAAATTACGAAAGGACTCCGTCTTGATTAAGTCGTTATCCAGCGAAAATATAATCAGACTGGTGATGGATCTCAGGTTCTCGAAAAGAGACACCCTTAATGACGATCCGTTTTATTTTAAGCTGACTAATTAGACGAAATCAAGGACGTAACTGTACTTAAACGACGCGTCATTATCGGCGTACCTCAAATTCGTGGACGAGGTCCACTTCGCGAGGAGGTATCCAAAGTGATTGTTCCACGAAAGTTTTTGTTCGCATCAGCAGAACACGGCTTTTGAAACGATGCCGGCGTACCGATTGAATGTAATGATCGTCACGCTGGCCGCTTATCGACGATCGTTGAAGAGGAAAGACGAAGGACACGAGAAAAAGAAGATGACGACGCGCCGATGTGCCGCAATTTATCCATTGCGCCAGTTTAGCTCAATCGCTTGAGTTCGTTTTAGTACGCGCGATCTACTCGTTTGTAAACGCCGAAATTGTTCATCGTCAGTTCGCTGATATGGGTCTCTGATAAGTCTGATTTGTCGACAAGGTTAATGTATTATTTCGTACATGGTATACTTTAAGAAATTTGCACAAAACAGAAATAAGAGGCAACAAAATAAGAATGTTTTTATAAATTTTTCTGTTACTTCATTTTAATTAGATATTATTCTAATTTTTTCAAGCTGTTTAATGCGTTGGAAAAAGATTTTCCTTTTTTTTTCCTTTTTTCACTTTACTTTATTTATTCATTAAATAATGTAACTACTCTCTGTGGGTTAGAATATATATACCTACAATTTTGTTTAAAAATAAAAATTATTTTGTCAGCATAAAAAACACCAACACAAATTCTGCCTTCGACATTCAGTCCATCCAATAATGCCAATAAGAACATATGCTATTAAAAAAATCTACGTTTACGAACGTAGGAGAGAAATCCTTTACACATGTGTACAATTAAAAAGGAAAAATAAATTGTTGAAAATAATGCAGGATGGAAAGCGAGAAATTAGAAAAGATCATTTTTAATTGTTAATACACAATACACGTCAGAGAGTTCAAATTTGTAAAAAGGATAAAAGAAACAATTAAAATATTCCTGCAATACATTTTTGTCCAATACTTTCTACAATAAAATTGAATCATTTTACACAAGATATTTTGTAAAAATTAAATAATGATATAAATAATTTGACAGAAAAATTCACAACATTTCATTTTTACGTCGCCATTCTCAGGATATAGTGTAACGATGCATGACGAAGATTACGAAGAAATTCTGCAAATAATTAATCATCGACAGTATAATAATCGTGCATCAGACAATGAGGCTACACGATGATGATTCGAACGAACCTACGTGGCAAAATTTCGAAGGTGTGGCCGGTTCGCGATTTGCGCTTCATTAAAGAGCGCGAAAGAATTTAAGGGGAAGTAACGACGTGCGATGTATACATGTGTACGGGATGCTTTCGAATAAGCGTTTCGTGCGGCAGGAAGCTCACGGCAATGAAATTGCCCCGGCAAAAGTAACGTGCGTCTAATTGTAAGAGAACGGGAGGAAGGGAATAATAATATCCGTCTGCCGTTCCGCGCGCGTTCCGCCTCGTCTCATTCGCTTTTCTTCTCCGATTGCACGCGTACGATCTACTCTTCATTAAAAAGGACCACTTGAGCTTAAAGATGGTTAATGACACGGTACCTTTAATGTCTTCACTCGGCTGTTCTTCCTCGTCTTTCACGGTAACGCGCGAGAAGGGCTTTTTCTCCGGCGACCCTTGCACGAAATGCCCTTAAACAGACCGTTAAAGTAAACGAGCGCCTGATCTTCTCTTTACCAGCCTAAAAGCCTACGAAATATTTAGGAAATACAAGAACGTCTGAAGATTAGAACTTCTCTTATAAACATTCTCCAGACGTCTCTCTCTCTCTCTCTCTCTCTCTCTCTCTCTCTCTCCCTCAAATCCTTCCTATCTACTGAAAATCCCATATTGGCGTTTTCGGATTTATCTCTTGACATCGACCGAGCTTCATTTCCCTTACAGGGCAAATGCATTATGGATACAATGCGCATAAAATGGCGAGACGTTATTGTAATCTACAACATCGTCTCGCTTGGCCAAGCAAGATCTTTCCGTACTCGATGCACTTATCAGAGTGCACTTTAGAATTATGGCGGCAATGGCTGCCTGAATGCACACATGCGTTACACGTTTTTACAATAAAGATCAAACGTAATAAAGAATAGGATGACCGTGCAAGACTGGATGTCTTTGAATCGTAAAGTTTTAGAAATGTAAAGGCAACATTAGCAGATTCAACCTTGGGACAAGCAGGCACCAATCTATTTTCAACTCTACTAACGTAAACAACGATTTTCTTCATTTCCTGAAGAAGATGCTATGATCTGATTTAGCTAAATGTGAAAATCTCTTGGAGATTTCTGAATCATTGCTCGTCAGGTGTCGCTGTGTAATCTTGATATGTTCGTTTTTTATAAGGAAAAATTGCCAGAAATATTAAAAAGAAAAAAAATTTAGAACACTTTTGATAACTAAATACACATGTTTCATAAGAAATACTCATATAATACGGCGAAAAAGCTTCGTCAGCTGATTGATCACATGAAAAGAATCAATCATTGTGATCTATTCATAAATTATAAG